ACAAAGATGGTGTAATGTACTACATTCTGAAGTGTTGGATTACTATAGTGAATTAGCATTCATAAATTGGGATGATTAAAATACAACACTCTCAGCAAATTTCGATGCGAATTGCACTACATAATAACCATTGCTCTGGGTGTGAAAATTATCCACCTGAATTAATATCGTATAATTGTATAAATGAAAAAAATCGTGATGTCAATAATAATATATTGGAAAGCACTATTGCCAAATATCTAGTATAGCTGAGAGATGGTTGGGAGTAAGAGCATAGAATATTTCTATGGAAAATTGTAATTCAGTGTCTTGTGGGTTTTGCCTTCGACTGTCCATTGAACTTCATTAGCAGGTATGAATATAATTTCGGGGGCATGGATTTCACGATGATGTCCCAAGTGGAAGGATAATCTTTTACACATTTCAGAGAATAATAACTCCTCCAAATATGTTCTTGGCTTTTGCTACATTGAATACAAGAAACCTCAACATTTGTGAATCTTGGACGAACTATGGGTCAGTGTGTATATGGAAATGATGAAATTTGAGTAATTACTCGTAGGTTTCAGGCATTGAGATTAGGTACATTTTCTTCGTACGAACGACCATTCACACTAGACTATCCAGAGTTTCCAGAAATACTCAGTTATAGGTTGGTAGGTACTAGATAGGTACGCAGCACATTTTTCCATCCTTCCAAAACAGAATTGAATAATATCATATCGTGATTAATAACAAATTGAAATTTTGTAAGACTTATTTTAACGCCAGGTTTGAGTGTGACGTGACAGCAATGTCATGTCAGGGACGTCAATACACAAAACCACTAGATCAATAAAAGAGAAAAGAGCTATGATCTGTCCTTCCTTACCTCGTTATAAGATAAATACGTCAATTTACATTAAGGGATCCTAGAGTAATGAATTAAAGTAAATGTTCATTCTTACTAGATTTTCTTTTATTTGTGTCAAAAGATGAATCCAAATTTATGGACGTCTTCACGGAGTTAATATGTTGGATCAAATTTGCAACATTTTATTATTGAACCGGAATTGTCGCTGTGAGATGTTCGAAGTGATAAAAAGTTTCCTATTCAGAACTTTAAATTTTCCCCGGACGTAGGGAAGTCGGAAGTTAAATCTCCAAGGGAAACCGACAGTTTCCATGCAGCTCCAGAAAATAGTGAATATATTTGTTTTATCTCGAGCACCGTCAACTTCTCCAAACCATATCTTTGCTCATTAATCGTAATATTCATTTTTGTTCTCAGTTGGAGAGAGATATTCTACAGCAGAATTTTGGGTGTAAAATATTACCATATCGGGTGTTTTTGAAAAGTGGCTAACCCCTATGACTTTTTTGTTTCTACAGATAAACAAATAAAATTCAGTCTGTCAGTATAGTAATAATAATCATATAGTTTATTTACTGCACATAGATACACACATACAATATCAATATTATATATAACTATGGAAAAGTAATATCCTCAATTTATTCAAATACGTCTTTAAGTTCAAATGGAAAGAGGAAGATTAATTGATGTTTTGATATTCATAGGTATATGAGCTGTTGTTATGGAAACAGAGTGAAAGAGCCGTGAACAAACAAGGAGAATCCAAAAAGTCTTGGACTGTCTGTGGAACAATCAATACTCTTGTTACTCTTTAGTTGGATGTGGTTTTACTACTCATATCTAAGTTATTATTGAGATAAACCTAGATTCTCAAGACCAAGAGATTCTAGAGAAATTTCGTGAATCGATTGTCAGCTTATGCAAGACAGTTTCGACTTGCCATTAGTCTCATCAGTTGCAATGGCCAGCTGACAATCGATTCACGAAGGGTAATACCTTCATATATCAAACAAGTCGAAGCCCTGAGGGGGCAGAAGGACGATCTAGCCTTCATAGCCATCTAAGTTATTATTATTGATATCCCATCTCATGGATATAATACTTATACTTGAGTAGTACAACTGATTGATTGAATTTTTGTTCAATATAAACATGGTGTTGAATATAGATTATCCCTTTTTGTTATTGATTTCATTATACCATCAGTTATCCAATCATTCCTTTTCATTTGAGATCGGTGTAATCTGATGGTTGAAGTATTATTTTTCTTTATTTAATCTATCAATAAATTCTCAATACAGTATTTATAGGAACACCGAATTAGGTTGGTCAACTATCCAACCAGCGATGCAGTACATAAATAAATATGCATTATTTGACGTCTTCAATTGTTTTCTATCACTTTCGGTTCGACCGGAAACGATTCTTATTTTCTTTTCGATATCATCGAATCATATTGTGAGTATAATGAGACCCCGTTTGCTACTGTGACATTTCTCTTCTTAAAATTTCCATTTTCCACTTTTCAATCTGGAGTGCCATGAATGAATTATAAAACAGTCGATTTCGAATCAAGTTGACGAGGAAAAATTGTTTCGATGAAGTTTTACAGGTTCATTCAAAATTAACAATATCGTGATTATGATGTTAACTCAATCTTTTCAAATGGAACAAGGGTGGCTGATTACCATATCTGAAAAGGGTATTTTGTTACGACCACGTTGATACCATATAATCGATATTATAATCTGCCTAAACGCTCTAATGGTTTATTGTGAAAAAGCGTCATCGTAAATGACGAAAAAAAATTAAGGATGCCTTTAAAAGTAATATTAATAATGTTTGTTATAGCATTTGCGCGCAGCCACATTGCACTTATTGGTTTTGGCAAAAATTCTCAAGAAACACTATTTTTCATTGTCAGTCAGTTGGTTACTACGAATTGTGAAATGATAAATTACAGTTAAAATTCAAAAAAATGGACATGCTATTAATTACAATGTGATTCTTTATCGAAATAGGTAAAAATATACCGGGTGTACTATACTCACATACGTGAATTTGTTTATCTGTAGAAACAAAAAAGTTATAGGGGTGAGCCAGTTCTGAAAAACACCCGGTATAGGCAAGTTAAATTTCGTAAGAAAGCGACTGGATTTATTAGCTGCCCTCTCATAGGGCACGTTGCTATTTATTTAAAAAGAACCCGTTTGAACCAATTCTATTTATTTCAAAATGAACTACTATATAGTTAGTAACTTTATTTTTTAATCTCCAAGTAAGACAATGATTATGTGATTCCCTCAAAACAAAATCTCGATTTTTGTATTGTAGAACTTCTGTTAGGCGGAAGATGGTGTTTTCTACGATCGAAACAGGGCCCACTATTTATTAAACTGATTTAAATATTTGTGAGGACGACTTTGAATATTCCTTCTTCCTTTCGAAATAATTTCACTATACGTTGAGCAATATGGACTTCTACCAAAGATTGTACGTAAATATTAGATTTGTTTTCCATCGTTCGAACGTCGAACGTCAATATCAAGTGTCAATCGAACTTCATTTTGTATCATTTTAGTAGGGTTGAAAGGATTTAAATCAATCACACGTTGTGTGGTAAATCTTTATAATTCCATTGTAATGAAAGATAGGCCAAATCTTGTTAGGGATACAGTACATTTACAATAACGTGAGGTATACAAATAAACATTATCTTGATTTCTACAGGTTGTCTTTGAACGTGAGGATATATGGATTATGATTTTTTCGAATAGAATACCTTGTATTTTATGTTATCTTGTCTACACAAATATATCTTATTCTTGCAATTCTTCTGCGGCGTTGCCAAGTTGATTAGAAAAATTACACAGTAAGTACACAGATAATATATTGGTTTCAATAGGTATCTGATGCTGATATTTCAAATTCCCCTCCAACATTATTTTTCAACCTTGATGATAATCTGACTATTTTTTTAATTAGGCATGTCATAATTGAGAGCTATCTTACAGGGTGATCCATAATAAACTGCCAATGCTGGCTCTTTCGAATGGTTATGACCTCGGTTATAACTTTGTTATTCCAGATGCAACACCCTGTATATTTAAGTAAAACTCTGGCTTTCTTCATCCGCCTTTCTCAAGCCTCTTCCGGTGTTGATGTGGCGTTATCGAAGATATAGTGTGGAATATAATTCTAGCCTAGCTGCTCTCATCTCATATTTCCCCCAAATGGAAAGAGATACTTTTTACGAAATTGGGTAGGTACGGAAAAAGGGGGAACACGCGGAAACATATAAAACACATCGAACCATTACGGCCGCATCGAGGATAAACTAACCGGAAAGCACGAAAAATAAATATACAGAAGACAGCGAAGGAAACTCTTCCGATGTCGGGCTTCCAAGAACAAGAACAAACAAATTCTTCTCCTCGGTTGGAATTTCCGTGATCATATTTACAGTCACAAGCGATGCAATATTAGTCCATGAAAGTTATAGAAAAGAATATTGCCAAACCTCGGAATTCGATTATGGAGATTCGATTTTGATGAGGGAAAGTGTGTTGTCTTTGTCATTGTATTGTACAGGGTGATTGCCTATATTTTACTCAACAGCTATCTTAGTGAATATTATCGTAACTCACATGTTGCAACTCAGATACGTTACTTCTACATGTCAACACAATAGTCTCGCTCGGCTACTTTGCAGTGTTTGATCACCCTACCTCATTCATTTTGAAATAAAAACATTTGGTTTTCTGTTGTGAACCAGGCAATTTAGCTCACCACCCAATTTAATTTTTGAATATTCCCGCGTATAGCTGAAAGACGGAAACGGTCATGTCTGACAGTTTCCATGTGTCCGTTTCCTACTGATGACGAGAGTGCCGTCATCTTCAAGTAAGTGAGATTTTTCGGGCATTCATTCATTCTTGATTAAGGTATGATATAGAGGTACCATGCGAAAGATACTTTATAATTACTTTTACTAATGTAGTTATGTGATGTAATAAAATCATGAAACGAAACACAATTTATTGAATCAAGAAAACATAAAAAAACAAAAAGTCGGAACAGCAAAGAACAAACATGAAACGAGTGAACATCAAAAACAAGAGGATGTTTTTTTGGTGCTTACATCATGTATTCAGCAGCAGAACCAAAGTCGAGGAGGGAAGATAATTTGGAAATCAGTAATCGCGTTGTGAATAATGAATTGATAATAATCTATTAATGAATCAATAATGAATGAATAATGAATTCATTCCAATTGAATATTTGAAATCAATGATTGGTTTGCAATATTCCGCAATGGAAATGGCCACTACCTGGCGCTATAGCTTACCTAGGTAGTTTCGCAGGGTAAGCGCTTTGCAAATTTACTTTAATAAAGTCTATGAACTCAGCTGACCTAAACAAAACTTCACTGTACAGGACGATATAATTTGGAAACGTTAATTTATGTTGAAATTCTTAAAACATACGAGAGTTTGAGCAATGATATTCTATAGACATATGCTTTCTTGACAATGACAATATTGTTCAGAAACATTCAGATGCATGGGCAAATATAAGAAGTATTTTTCATGGGCTTTCAGAATATAGTACAAGAAAATGCAAAAAAGCATGGTCAACTAAAAAATTAAATCTATAAAGTGGTATAATATGAATGAAATACCCTGTATTTTCCTGATCTGTAGGGCTCTTCCTCCTGATTTCAAATATATATATATATATACATTATTGAGGTAATCTTCGTCAGTTTTTTTAAGTTTTTTCGTGTTAATCTAAGACCAGAAATCTCAGCATTGTCGCAAGGCGTTCTACAGCTTCCTCAGAATTATAAGAAAAAATCTATATTTTCCACCAACGACAAAGATAACCTCGATAGAGTATACTGGGTGTTCCAGAGTTTTGAGGCCTGCAAATATCGGGATTATTTTTTGACATACAAAAGAATAACAAAAAAAGTGAAATATATAGGAGCAAATGCTCTTCAAGACAATGAAATCGAATAAGCCTCATGTCAAACATTCTACTAGAAATTTTCAAATCGCACCCTCATGTTTCTTTCGTACATCTTATACATCTTATAGAATATTTCATTCTCAATTCAGAGTGGTATTATGAATGGAACTAGAAATTTAGCAAGAAATTCATTCCTGGAAATTTCTAGTATTCTCAATCAAATTGATGAAAAATATCGATTTTCTTCAATGGTTGTTTTAAATGACTGGTATCACTTGCTACACTATTATGTCGCCTATCCAGACTTTGTTGTGCTCTGATTTTTCAAGAAACATATAACACACGTGCAAAATCCTTAACATCTTCATAATCTTGAAATATCGATCGTGATGTATAGTCGAATTGGGAATGAGAAGTTCTATAAGATAAACCGTTAGGTGCAATTCAAGAAGAATGATTGACTTAAGGGGGATTTGAATTAATCATTTTAGAGAGCTTTTGCTCCCATATATTCCACAATTCTGACCATTTTTTTCTGTATGTTAGATATTCCAGATACCTGCTGGCCTGATAGCCCTGGGACATCCAGTATATATTCGAAATTAGGAGAAAGAGCTCCACCGCTTAGGTTAACGATGATTTTTTGCATTTCTTAGTAATGGATTCTCCATGATCATAGGCAAAATTAACTGAGGTAGCTATTGGGTGAAATATATGCAATCACCCTGTACATCAAAGTCTACCTACATCGTCTCATTTGTTCATTTATCAATAAACATCATTATAAACAGATTATAGGTATTTCGGCTGTTACAAGAGGCCAATTTCGAGGGGGTAAAGTCCATTCTTCTTCTCATTAGTTGTACATCGACTTTACATGAATTCAGACGATCTTCATTTATTTATCGAATCTTATTGTGATTATTATAAACAAATAAGGTGTTTCATGTGTGATCGGACTGAGAGATGCGGATTTTCACGCGATAACTAATCGACGTTCCCATAATTGCAGGGCAGATAGTCAAAATTCAAAAACTACTAACCTAACCTATAACCTAACCTCATTTTGTTCAATGGAACGGTTTTTTCCGTTGATTTTTCACAGAGGTGACAGTGCTCACTTTATTCATTTATTTTAATCTATATATATCCTTGTGCCGTTAAAGAGAAAATGACATTTTAAAAACATAATAAAATCTCTATTCTTATTCAACAACATCGTGGTAGTTTCAGTCATTGTTAATTGGAATTGACAAATTATTTTGACAGTATTGAATACTTTGGTAGCACTATGGATGACTTTAGTGATGATGAGTATTATGTATGGCTTTGCAGAAACATTCCAGGCCAACAAATTAAGCTTGCCATCTATCACATGGACTAGGAAATGCTGATTTCTATTTGGACATTCAGGGAACGAACCTGCTCCCATTTTCAATATAAAAACGGAAAATATTTTCTTGTCTAATTATCTTCGGGTTTTTGTGTTGACGCTTCTCAATGACAGTTGTTGAGGTTGACAAAGTGGAAAACAATCATGTTTTCATTATTTTATCTTGAATTTGCCATTAACATGTTCAGATTCTAGTAGTGAATAACAAGAAGCAATGTTATTTTCTCCGTTCAGAAGGATGCCAGCGGATTTTTCTCTTTTGGTTGTTATCTTATGATATGACCATTCCATTCTGCCACATGTATTTCATTTTCAGTTAGGATGAGTCCAGCTAATTTTGATTGTCGGTATGTCTTCTCTTCATATTGTATTTATGTTCTTTCATCCTTACTATGAGAGAGGTCTCTCTGTTTCAATTGTATAATATACACTCTACAAACACAAGGAATACTGTTAATACAATTTTTCTTTGATTGTTCTTTATTTCGGTTTCGTTTGAGTAAACGAATTGATCACATTTCATTTTCAATCATGATCACAGTTTTCACTTCAAGTTGAAAACAACTACTTTCCTGGCTATTTGCCACGTCGAACATTGAATTATATCTGATGAACATTCAAAAGGGGGAACATGAAAAATAAAGAATAAAATCCTCCGAAAGTAGTTGTTTTCTGTTGAATATTCAGAATGATGTGTGTATATACATATTTTTGTCTGAAGGAGAATGCAAATTCTCAAATTCAGAAATTTTTATATTTTATTTTCAAACTCTTATCGTGTGTGTTCAATAGATATAATTCAATGTTCGTCGTGGCATATAGCCAGGAAAGTAGTTGTTTTCTATTGAATTAACTGAAAAAGAGTAAATATTCTCATCACATAGAGAATGCGAATTCTCAATGTATTGCTTTATATAAATATATATCCATTTTTGTATGTTCATAATTTATCTGAGAATATTCCTTTTCAACACTTTCATACCCAATCAGGGGGTTCAAACTTGAACGATGGAAACTTGTGATTTTTATAGACCTCTAATCGCAGATTCGTGATAGAGTCTCAATTCAGAATTCATTTCCACGCCCTGTATGATGAATGTCAATTTATCATACACCCAAAAGCAAATTCTTTCATTCTCCTATATAAAATCAGAATAAGTATTACGAATAACCCCTATGAAAGAATAATTTCTCTTCGAACTCCCTTCGAAACTTTTGAATCCAAATGCAAATATCTTTTATATCTCCGTCACATACATTAATATATAAGCTGGATTTATCTTGCCAGACAAGGAAATATGGAATTCGGATGAAATTTGGCGACAGTGAATTCATAAAAATTTCAGTCTAATTCTTGTTTTGATCATTGTACGGATTTTTGCGATGCTATAACTTTCAAGTTTATTCCCTGAATATCATAATATGCATGAAACATTTACATATTTACATAGATAAGTTACGATGTTTTATTTGTTAGTGAAACCAGCGCAATGAGCAGACATTTCAACCGTATTGAAGGTATTCAGTCCTGAACAAATGAAAATCATAATTTGGATTTTAAACATTCTTGTGCTTTCTAATGGGAATATTGCAATGCAGAGGAATGAAAACTTATTATCAGTTATAGTTGTAAGTAATGAGACCGTAGTGAATATGATTTTCCTATATAATCAAACATTAAGTAGTATTTGAAGCTAATTTTCAATATAGTTCTTCCGATATAAAAGTGAGTTTGATACATTATCATTGTTTAGTTAGGTCCAACTTCACTGTGATACGTCGTATTAGTTAATGGAGGTGATGATATATTTGGTGCAATTTGATATTTTTTGCAGTTATACAGACATGGTGCAAGAACTCCAATAACACTTTATAAAAACGACCCTTATGCTTCAGAGATCCATAAAATATGGCCAGAAGGATTAGGACAGCTGAATGATGTAAGTTTGATTGCACATCAATAATTGGGTATTATTCAGATTTCAAAGTGTACTAATTACGTTTACCTAGCTTTTATTAAATTCTTATGATAATTCACAAATCTTGACATTTCGGAAACGTTTATTGAAAACAATCAAATTAATAAGATATGGAAGTGATAATGTTCAGATTATTTGCTGAAAAACCCATATTTCTATTGATGTTCCAACTAATTACAAGTTTTAGTACTCGACTCATTTCAAGGTTGTCTGATGTCTGTATTCAAAGTAAATCATTCAATAAACTTTTATGGAGTTTATTTATCTATAGGGTATACTTTGTGACTTTTTATCATACACATTGGAGGAAAAAATAACATCTTATATCTTTTTGAGCTCCATTCACAACGAGAAATATCTCGTGAAATAGTTCAATTAGGTTCATACAGGAGGGTATAGGTGTTCCGATAATTTCTTAACAAAAACGAAACTACATACAGGGTATGTCATGACGAGCTTACACTATCTCTATATCGAGAGATATTCTGAATGGAACACTCTGTATTTTATCGCATTTTTAGATTCAACCTGGAAAGCTCATTTCATCGATGCATCACACTTGGGGTCTATCGGAAATGATTACAGAAATATAAGGTGTTCAAAACAACTTTAAGATTCTATTGTGTCGAAACTATTCATTATCGGTCAAAACGGCTCACATGTCCCTATATCAACTATCGATTCACTACTTACTGATATTTAATCGGAACAGATACAGGGTGGTTTCAGAATTTTGATTACCCTGTATCTTTCTCGATTAAATTTCAGTAAATAGAAAATCAAGAGTTGAGAGAGGGACATATCAGCCGTTTTGCCCAATAATGAATAGTTTCGACACAAACAAATCCTGGACGAGTGAATAATTATTCAAAACCGATAATTCACCTTGTGTCTCCGCAATAAAGGCTGTGAGACTTAGTTCTTTCGAGCGATTTTTTTACTGAAATATATCGAATAATCATAATTGACACTGGTTTCATAATTTCAATACTCTTCAAATTGACATACTTTCAACTTTCTGTTTATGATTGTTACGATGAGAATTGGAGGCGGGAAAACAAAAAGCATCAAACTCAATTCAGTTTTTCCTCCTCTTCACACTTCTCTTGATGTACTGTGTTAATTATTAAATACAGAGTGTTATTTTAATTTTTCAAATGAAAGTACATTTTTCTTGAAGCCGAACCTGGATTTTCACTCCACCCGATAGGTGAATGAATTCAACGTCTCAAGTATAAGCTCCATACCAAATTTAAGAAAAACATACTGGGTAGTTCAATACTTATAGACGAATGAATAATTATTCGAAATCGATAAATCACCCTGTATCTCCGTTATGAAAACTCTAAGACCTATCAAATATGGTATTTTCAGAACCACCTTGGTGACCCCTATCTACCATTGAAATATTTCCCTTTATCTGTGAAACACCCTGTATAGGGGCGGACGATCCTGGAATATCTGGATCAACTGTCGTAGTATAATAATATAGGAAAAAAAAACTCATAATTCACCAACTAACTAGATTCCATAAAAATCAGCTGTAGTGCTTTTTTTCATATAAAGAAGAAACTTTGTATCGAATTTTGAGGTGGATTTTCTTATTTCTCATTGTCAAATTTTGTCAAAATGGAGTACGCCTAGTATAGGTGTCGCCTATAGCAGCTGTTTCAAAGATTCTCGAATTTGAATGTCACACAATATCATTTTTAATCAGATAAATTCCTTATCCTAACGAATATAATTTGCCAATCAGTAATTTTATAAGTCTGATGACTAATGATTCTGGCTTCTGAAGTGTTCGAGTGTTTTTCGGCAAGATGAATCAGCGAAAATATACAAATGAAAAACATATATGACTACTTTTATTGAAGTTTCCGTGTTTCTTGTAGCTCGCGGAAATGATTTTCCAAATTTTTCTTTCTGTTTCGTCAGACGAAATTCTCGCAAAACGGCACATCCTGCTAATTTACGAAAGAACGGAACCCAACAATCAAACTCAACACAACAGAAATTGAAATGACAGGCGCATACTAGATGAAGTAGATCAAAAAGTTCTCTGTGGAGGAGTTGATTCATCGAATTTGAAACACGTCGTAATTCCCCCCGATATTTCATCTAGATCTCGATTTATCATCCTTGAAACCGTGCGACATGGTCTCATTGAGGAACAAATTTGCAAAAAGTTTCAAAAACTATATTGACTAAGAAGTGAGGGTGAAATCCTCATATTTCAGCTTCAGAATTCAGAATTATACAGACCATTCTGGACTCGATTCAGACACACTAGATATATTCAATCGCGAGGTAGTTTTTGGCCAGTCTCGTAACGTCCTCATACTTCCTCAGGAAGGCATCCAACAGCAATACCTCTTGGGCAAATGGTTGCGTCAGCGTTACGAAAATTTCATCCGGCCACAATACCACCTGCAAGACCTCCTGGTCCACTCTTCTGACGTTGACAGGTGCCTGATGTCGGCCTCCGCGAACCTGGCAGGTGAGGAGTAGGTTAGGTTAGGTTATCCCTCCACTGCGACCCGTGAAGGTAAAGTTTACAGAATCTATTGCCTATCATCGTTCCCTACTGATCATGTCTTTCTGGTTTTCAAATCCTATCTGCAATTTCTCAAGGCAACAGTTCATCATACATGGACAGTGAGCTACTGAGTTAAATCTCCATGTTTCCTTCGAGATACATCAACTAACTGATGGATCATATTTAATCACAGAGAATACAAAAATTCCTCCTGTTTACAATTTTGTTGTGAATAGTTTGATGGACTGATTGTGCTCACGTTAAACAGTATTATCTTTGGAAGCATTTGGCTTGGCGAAACTCAGTTAATCCAGCTTTTTTTTTTTTTATCGATTGGAGCTTGATTACTTCACAAAGTTTATTCAATCTGAGATCAAGATTCATTTGATGGAACTAGGCCTCACAATGTCAACGACGATTTGAAGATGGTGGAAGGATGTAGCAATGGTATTTCAAAATAATGATAAAAATAGTTCTGATACAATATACCATCATGCGTGAGCAAAAACATCAATCAGTCTTTATTAGTTCTTGGTGTCATCTGCTCTCTCTTAGGGAGCAATGGTCCAGTTATCAACCTATACTGGGTCCTATTCAACTTCAGAATATCTTCCGACGTGACTCGATATAGCTGATATTGTTCAATCTATGATTTAGCTATAGAGACATGCGCTCTTGGAGGCAGTTTCAAACTATAGTCTGGGCATAGATTAACGACTCCCCATCTGGGGTGAATTCGATCGCACTAAATCAAATGTTCAAACATCTAACCCAAACGTTCTGGAGTTATTGGCACTTTTACATGAATTTCGTGAAAATTGCAAACTTTGATCAGTATTTCGAGTGCCGCAGTTACAAAACTTCATAGTTTAAGATTCTAAATTTTGTTATGCAACCTGATGTATTAACCCTTATATTAATCACAATCCAAAATAAGAATATTGGTGCAGTACGTTTGGAGAACACAAATATGTTTGCACGATTCACGAGTTAAGTTATCATTAATTAGCTTACTTAGACCATCATATTGAAAACAAAATCACCACGTGAACCTTGCAAGTTATTTTGAAAAATTGCTCATTCAGTTCAGTTCCTAACATGATACAACCTTCACTATTTTCCACTTGAGGAAAAAATATATTCTTAGTTCACTTGCCATACGAGCTCATTGTGAAATTATTCCAATAATTATAGGAATTCAAATGAAGACACTTGGTAAATTGAAGTGACAGGTATTTATTGACAACTTAACAAGAGACAAGGAGGAATAAAAGAATGTGTTCAAATTGCCTGCTATATCTCTAAAACTATCAATATTTTACTAGTCATATTGTGATATTCTGGTCAGTCATATTGTGATATTCTGGTCAGTCATGAGTTTGACTGAAAGCCCTCCAAAGGATCACGTTGAGTTTTGGGACATCCGTATATGTATATGCAATCAAAAATAAAACACCCTGAGCAATAATTTCTCCACTGCGACACGTAAGGGTGGGTCTATTGTGGCTTACCAATTCATACTTCATCACCAAGTAGATCCAGCTTCAACTGACTTTGAGCTTCCTGTATTTATTTTACATTGCAACATTGTGGCTTATTTCGTAGTTGAAATCACGCCAGTCGAGCAACCAGCCGCTACCGTATGGGAATTTCAGTTTTGGAGTGTATCTCTTCTCTGTTCTACTCAGATGGCGTTGCTTTCATATTGTCGATGAAAGACGGCTCGGGGTGAATATAATGCCGACTTGATTTTTGTTTGGCTAGGCTTCGCTGAGTCGGCGGTCTCAGGACTGCTGGCTGGAGACTACACTGCACTGATGAGTTCAAAGAGCTCGAAACCGGTCTGTGGTTGTTTAGCGTGGCCTGGCTCAATCGAAATCAATAGGCATTCAGGAAAGAATCACTCAGTATTCGTTTATACGAGTTGGTACATAGATTTCAGGAGGATGTAATTCCATTGTTGTTAATTTTATGAACATTGTGTGCAAATGACTTTGATCTTCCTGTATTTATTTGACATTTCATTCCACTTTGAGCATTATGGCTATTTTGTAGTTATTATTATTATTGTCCTGACAGGCCTCTACGATCGATCGTGCCAAATCGGGGCAACTTGGAGGCCGGCTCCAATCCACACTGCACCGAGCAGTACCGACGCCGTCCTTGCTCTGTCCAAACCTTGCGCCAGGTACGACAGGCTCTATGCTGAGCTGTTGAAGACCGATCTGTTCGTGGACTTTTTCGAAATGAACCGAGAGCTGTTCGACTATTTGAGCGAGCATGCCGGTGAAGAGGTCAGAGATTTCACGAGGTTGACGCAGCTCAACGACGCTCTGAATGTCCAGAGGTTTTACAATCTGACTTTACCGGCATGGACGGAGGAAGTTCATCCTGAGATGATGGCAAAAGTGGTGGCGTTTCATTGGATCGCTACGACTTTCACTAAAGAATTAGCTCGGCTACGTATTGGTGAGTTATTCTATACAAACATCGAATCAACATAACTTCGTGGAATTTACTAAGTGGCGTATATGTGAATTTTTAATATTTCTGACGAGATGCAATTCAAGGTTTACATAGTGTTCATGATGTCACTATCTGATTGAGCCAATTCCATTAAATCTTCGTGAACATTCATAATGTATTATATAAAATCTGATCCTGATAAATAGATAATGAAAATGTCATTCTTAGACGGTGAATTTTATTTTAAAAAATAACGATATACGCACTTCACACAGTGAATGTGATTTAATTATCATGTTCATTTAAGCCCAATGAGATTATGGAGGAAAATACATACAAAAAGCAATTCAGTTGCAGTCTAAAATCAAAAATCAAGAATGATTCAGACAGGAAAATTGGGAAGATGTTGAAAGAGAATGCTAGGTATTCTTCGAGCTGAATGACAAAAAAAAAACGGCAAACAAAAAAATTTCAAAGATTATCGCCCTGTAACTTGTTAATTTCTTCTCGGATTTAGGTGATATTCCGACCAAATCGAAGATTCATGTTTTGAAGTGTTGACCTGAATTTGAGTTTGGAAAAAAGGCTGATGACTTATTATATATACAGGGAAAGATACCAGTTACTATTTCGAGCTTAACTTCTTAATGCCCTGTGGCAAAAGTGAGTGGTTAAACTCAGCTTCATCATGTCAAAAATTTCTTTCACAGAGAAGATACAAGTATTTTAAGGAATTATAGATTTCTTGAATTTGCAGAACATACATGATCGATTAACATCCAGAAAACACATCTATGAGCTGATATCAATTGTTTTCTGCTCGTTTTTTAGCACTCTGGTCTGGTCTATTCAAGCTATCAGATTTAAGATCCATTTCATCAGACCAACGAACACCAAGTGCTCTGGAGAGAGTTCTGGATTCTAGGAAATCACCATCCCACCTTTTTGCAAACAAGGCAGTCACTACAAACCACCACATTTTCTTTCTCCATCTGTCACTTCACTAAGATCCATCATGAAAAAGCCGACGTGACCATTGCTCAGTAAATAGGATAACTAAGAATTTACAAGTTGGAACCTGCAAATTTCACAATTGAAGGAATATGCATTTCATCGCCATGGAATTAGCCGGCTAGTCTTTCAATAAATAGATATATTTTATTTGATCATGTTATGTAACAAAATTACATTCATGACAATAGGTTGGGTTACAATATTTGCGTTGAGTAAAACTACCAGTAACAAGCATTTGTTACCAAATAGAAGCTCATGAAAACTAAATATAACGGAGAAATGAATTGACGTTCCTAATATACTGACACAAACATAGGTAGGCTATGCAACACTTTTTGCTCCTAGAAGCTAAAGTTGAACTTTAGCTCCTAGGAACTAAAAAGGGTGTACTAGGGGTCATCAAGAATAATACTAGATTGTTTCATTAGGATCAAAAGTGACACTTTGTTTGACAAGCGAATTTTGCATTTGCGAGGCGGAGCGTTTAGCGAAGCCGAGCGAAAGCAAAATTTACTGAAATTTTATTTACTGAAAATTGCAAAAATTGCAGAAATTTCAAAAATCTCTAAAAATTGGAAAAAATAGAGGAAATTTCAAAAATTAAAAAAATTCATGGAAAATGGAAAAATTGCATAAATTTCAGAAATTCCTGAAAATTGCAAAACTTGAAGAAATTCCTGAAAATTGCAAAAATTCCTGAAAATTGCAGAAATCGCAAAAATTCCTGAAAATTACAAAAATCGCAAAAATGCCTGAAAATTGCAAAAATAGCAAAAGTTGCAAAAATTCCTGAAAATTGCAAAACTTGAAAAAATTCCTGAAAATTGCAAAACTTGAAAAAACTCCTGAAAATTGCAAAAATTTCAAACACTGAAAATTGCAAAAATTGCAAAAATTGCTGAAATTCCTGAAAATTGCAAGAATTCCTGAAAATTGCAGAAATCGCAAAAATGCCTGAAAATTGCAAAAATAGCAAAAATTGCAAAAATTTCTGAAAATTGCAAAAATTGCAGAAATTGCAAAAATTCCTGAAAATTTCAAAAATTCCTGAAAATTTCAAAAATTCCTGAAAATCGGAAAAATTCCTGAAAATTGCAAAAATTGCTAAAATTCCTGAAAATTGCAAAAATCGCAAAAATGCCTGAAAATTGCAAAAATTGCAAAAATTCCTGAAAATTGCAAAAATCGCAAAAATTCCTAAAAATTGCAAAAATTCCTGAAAATTGCAATAATTGCAAAAATTCCGGAAAATTTTGAAAATTCCTGAATTCCTGAAAATCGCAAAAATCGCGAAAATGCCTAAAAATTGCAAAAGATGCAAAAATTCCTGAAAATTGCAATGATTGCAAAAATTACGGAAAATTGTAAAAATTCCTGAAAATTGCTAAAATCGCAAAAATGCCTGAAAATTGCAAAAATCGCAAAAATGCATGAAAATTGCAAAAATTGCAAAAATTGCAAAAATTCCTGAATATTGCAAAAATAGCAAAAATTGCAAAAATTCCTGAAAATTGCAAAAATTGCAAAAATTCCTGAAAATTGGAAAAATTCCTGAAAATTGTAAAAATTTCAAAAATTCCTGAAAATTGGAAAAATTCCTGAAAATTGCAAAAATTGCTGAAATTCCTGAAAATTGCAAGAATTCCTGAAAATTGCAGAAATCGCAAAAATGCCTGAAAATTGCAAAAATAGCAAAAATTGCAAAAATTCCTGAAAATTGCAAAAATTGCAGAAATTGCAAAAATTCCTGAAAATTTCAAAAATTCCTGAAAATTTCAAAAATTCCTGAAAATCGGAAAAATTCCTGAAAATTGCAAAAATTGCTAAAATTCCTGAAAATTGCAAAAATCGCAAAAATGCCTGAAAATTGCAAAAATTGCAAAAGTTCCTGAAAATTGCAAAAATCGCAAAAATTCCTAAAAATTGCAAAAATTCCTGAAAATTGCAATAATTGCAAAAATTCCGGAAAATTTTTAAAATTCCTGAATTCCTGAAAATCGCAAAAATCGCGAAAATGCCTAAAAATTGCAAAAGATGCAAAAATTCCTGAAAATTGCAATAATTGCAGAAATTGCAAAAATTCCTGAAAATTGGAAAAATTCTTGAAAATTGTGAAAATTTCAAAAATTCCTGAAAATTGGAAAAATTCCTGAAAATTGTAAAAATTCCTGAATATCGTAAAAATAGCAAAAAATGCAAAAATTCCTGAAAATCGCAAAAATAGCAAAAATTGCAAAAATTCCTGAAAATTGCAAAAATTCCTGAAAATTGCAAAAATTGCAAAAATTGCAAAAATTGCAAAAATTGCAAAAATTGCTAAAATTCCTGAAAATTGCCAAAATCGCAAAAATTCCTGAAAATTGCAAAAATCGCAAGAATTCCTGAAAATTGCAAAAATCGCGAAAATGCCAGAAATTGCAATCTCCTATACCTGGCACTGGCGCGGTATTTGCTACCAGGGCTGACAACTGATCCATACACGAATGGGTAACTCTTTGGTTGTATTTATATTGAAACTACAATTCGAACATCCTTGAAAATTAACATGTGAACTCAACCATGGACAAACATTAACTCGACGGTTAGTATTTTTCACGGTTGGGTGAACAGGTGAACATATACCTAGTATATAAACAGCACACTAGGATAGGATATTCAGTTTTAATCTTCTCCTGAAGATGCTAACATAGTTGGCGAAACAAGTGTCAAGACGTTTGAAAAAATCGGTTTGGTTAGTGGTAAAACTGTGTGGTGTATCCTTGAAAATTGAATAAACCTGTTCTGTTAAAGCAGGTAGAATATTCTCACCATACGGCTTATTTGTTGTATTGCATACATATGGCATGGCATTGGTGAGAGAAGATAGCTTGTCAGAAGTGACTTTGTTTGACTCGAAAATTTTGCTTTCGCTCAGCTTCGCTAGATGCTCCGCCTAGCAAATGCAAAATTCGCTTGTCAAACAAAGTGTCACTTTTGATCCTAATGAAGCAAGCTACCATCAATTCTAAGAAACTATTTTCTCCGTATCACATTTTTTCAGGTCCCCTCATCGATAAGATAACCAATCATTTCGAGGCCATATCCAATCGCATTCCTGGCACCTCCAAATTCCTCATGCTGTCAGGTCATGACACCACGTTAGCTTTCCTGCTGAATTCCCTGGGTATCTACGATATGGTTTCGCCAAAATATGCCGCCACTGTTATCTTCGAGTTGAGGCAAAGCAACGACTTTCAGTACATCAACATTTTCTACAAAAACAGTACACGCTCTGACGAAGCTCATGCTAAAACTTTGTATGGAAGTGACTTTGACTGTCCTCTGGAGGAATTCAGGAGAATTGTGGCCCCGATAAGAATCAATCAGGAGAGTTGGGACAAAGAATGCGTAGATTCTGGAAAAGTTTGAATGTTTATTTCTACTTTGTCTTGAGGTTTTTCATGTGATTTTCAATGAATAAACAATACACTATATTGTCGAGTTCATAGTTCTTTGTGTAGATCAACTATTCCAGCACAAGATAGTGTTTCATGCCACTTTTGGAAATCTATCTCCTCTGAGTTTTGATCAGATGGTTATCACCATTAATCTGATTTGCTTAATGTACATACTGTGACCTTCAATCCCATCATATCGTAGGCTATTCTCAAGATTGTATCGTAATATTTTATTGTTTTGCGGAAATTATCTTAGATAATCTTTGAACAGGTCCAGTATCCGCGTTGAATGATCTGACGATTATATTATTTGCACAGATAGAAAAAATGATGCCACCGAGATGGATCATTTTGGGTTTGCAAATATGGTATGCCTGTGGAAACTCGATTCAAGATAATGACAATCTTTTGTCTACTGTCGTGGTAAGTGAGTTGAAAATATTTCAGTTAGTTACGAATTTTTCTTATTAATTGTATATGCAAGATTATGGGGTCACTGATTCCTATATCTCTAATTTCTGTCGATCAAGACGGTTTCATAAAATGAGACTACAAAGAACTGATTGGTAAATATCTATAAAGCTTTTTAGACATGGCGACAGAGCACCTATAAGTTTATACAAAAATGATCCTCACGCTGCACAAGTGTCAACAATTTGGCCTGAAGGTTTAGGTCAGCTAACAAATGTGAGTATTAAGTGATTCTCTACAACTTATAACAAGATCATACTATTTTTCATGGGTTTCGATGAGTCTGATTGGTTGATCCCGGGATCCGATTGAATATTATAGGTTTTTGATGAGTCTTAGTGAGTTTTAACAAGATCCAATGAGTTTTTATGGGTTCCAACGATATTTCAGGAGAATCCAATGAATTTTCGAGAGTATCAAAGCATTTGAATGAGATCCTATGATATTTAATGTGTTCCAATGAAGCTTATCGATATTTCAACAAACTATATTGATTTTTTTATGAGTTCCAATCAGTATTGAAGAGATCTTATGATTTTCAATTCAGATAGGAAAACAACAGCACTACGCTCTGGGCAAATGGCTACGTGCTCGCTACGAAGGCTTTCTTCCCACCGCCTACTACTACGAGGACATTACCGTCCACTCGTCCAACGTGGACAGATGCCTTATGTCCGCCACAGCCAACTTGGCCGGGCTCTATCCCCCAGAGGAGACGCAGGTACGTTTAGGTTAGGTTAGGTTTTAACGTGAGTGGGCCCATATCAGGCTCTCCACTGCGGCCAATGACCTATTGTGGCTCACCCTATGGTTATATTTCTCCCAGTATATCTAATCTGTTGGCGACATTAAGGAGTACGTTGGGAGAACAATTAAACAGGTATTCTGGCCCTAGTGTTGTATTGGCGAATGTTGAAAATATGATTCTGGCCGCAGCAGAGCATGTACATGAAACGTGTTTAGCCGTTTCATCCTCCTCCATTCATAGACGACACTCTGCATCTTGGGCGAGTCCGATTTTGTGCATGTGGTGTATGAGTTTGCATTGGCCAGTGAGCAAACCTACTATATTTCTAAGATGTGCTCTACTGAGTTATAGTAGTTTGTCAGAGTCCTGTTTGTTCCTTGTACAAGCAATGAATGCTTTGGAATGGGCTAGGCTTGGTAGACTAGGCCAATACTCGAGTCTTTTGTCGTCGGCCCAGGATGTTATAACATTCTTGGCCGATTCTATACCGATTACCGGTTCTGGCCCAGTGAACTATGTTTTGGTCCCCCTTTTGCTAGGTCGTCCGCTGTTTCGTCCCCCTCTAGGCCCGTGTGACTTGGTATCCAGACTAGGTTAACGTTATTGCGTTGTGCCAGTCGGTTTAGGGTTTCTCTGCTGTGGATTTAAAGCAGTTGGATTCAAGTGCTTTCACTACTGCTTGACTATCTGAAAATATCTTTATTGTTTTTCGTGTGTGATGTCAATTTTCCAGCTCCCTCGCACACATTTCATTGGCGTATACCTCTGTCTGGAATACCGTAGCTAGTTTTCCCATACTGAATAAGCGTTTCACTGGTGGATTCATCCCGTATATTCCGACTCCGACGCCTTCCAAGGTTTTGGAAACATCGGCATACCAACATTCATTTGCCCTACATAGTTTCAGTTCCATTCCGAACCCATTCTACTCTTTTCAGGGAAGGCCACAGTACAGGTATGGTACCAGAGTATTTATAGAAATGTCCGTTATCTGACGCATACGCATAGTTTCTAAAAAATTCTAAAATTGATCTATCCGTCATTCGGTTGCCCCCTTACGAGCAACCCTCAAAAGTCTTCGAGAGTCTTGTGCGAGCAAGGAATGACGGGGGCCTTACCTTTTAACGTGTGATCCCAAACACTTTCTTGGGCCATCAGATTAATTTCTGCAGTCGATGGGAATCGAACTCACGACCGGCAAGCGAATGCGGATTAGAATATTGAATATTGACACTCTGTCCGCACGGCTACCTCTGGCCTTCTAAGACATAGAATTTTGAATAGTGCTTTGAGGTACCTACTACCAAAAATTCGAAGATGGTGATTGTGAGCATGGGTCAGAAATAAAGAAGTCATGTTTTTAGGTATGGAATCCGTCATTGTTATGGCAACCGATTCCCGTTCATACCAAGCCGCAGAGCGACGACGCAGTCTTGGCGGCCCACAAAAGTTGTAGGAAATACGATATGACATATGATGGGACCATGTTCAGCGAGCATTTCCAAGAGATTTTCAAAAAAAATAGTGAACTTTTCGAGTATTTGAGTGTGAATTCGGGAAACAACATAAGCGATTTCAACAGCTACACCAATTTGTGGAACACTCTGTATATCGAGGCGTTGTACAATCTGACTCTACCCGAATGGACCAAAGACGTTTTTCCAGATAAAATGAGGGCACTGGCTTATGAGTCTTGGCGATCATTCACGTACACCACTGAGATGGCCTTATTCAAATCTGGTAGGTTCATGAACCACAAAAATCATCAATTCTTTCATTCGAATTCGTTGTTCCTAGAGAAAATAGTGCTTGAGGTGGACAATTATGGCGTGATTTAATACTCAATAATGCATCAAAACCGGTTTTCACATCAAAATGTGGCGATTGATGGCTGTTGTTTGTCATCCGTGAACAAGTAATAGAAAGCTTGGAGGATCCATGAAAAACGTGAAGTGAAAATAGTAAGGCATTCGTCACTTTTTTCCTCAGGTTGATTGCAAACCATCAGATGACTACCATCAATCACCATCTTTAGGTAAAACCAATCATTTAGGAAACATTAAGGCGACAACTCCGGAATGGACGCTCTCAAAGTTGTGTCAAAAGTCTCATACAATCTTGTGCCTGCGTCGTAAGTTTTTGAATGTCAAAAGTAATAAAATTCGGCTTTTCGTGATTCTCTAGCTTTTGATACCTCCAATGATAACACCTATTATTGAAATTGTAGAACATGAAATTTTCGCGCTAAATACTGGTCTGTTAATTCAAGATCATATAGGAATCTTGATTGATAATACCCTGTATAAAGTTATCTAATCATCAAAAAATCATTAAACATTGATAATTTGTATTATTTATCAATTTATGTACTGTATTCAATAACATTCCACATACATCTATAAGCAATGCGTGTTTGGTTAGGTATGCGAAGTGTGCAGTAAAGTGAAGTCCAAATGCACAAAAAATAAATTTTCAAATATCCTTCACCCTGTTCCTCAAATTTGGCTAGACTTTGCTCCTGACTAACAGAATGCATAAATCAATGCATTTTTACTTACGCAAATTGAGATCAGATGATTTCATCCAAAATGTCACTGCGCTTCAAATTCCTCAATTATGCAGAAAACCGAGAGAAAAATCATTCGCTAAAAGTCAGTGATACCGTATATGGAAAATGTATGAAGAAGAAGGATATGAACTATTCAAATAATATAAAATTTCATCTCTCTTTGGACGTTCCGAAAATGAGAATCCTTCCGTTTTCAACATATAAATGAAAAATAACTCTTGATGGATCTCTCTCTATACAGGGTATTATTCACTGAGATCTACAGTTGGCCCTGTACTCTCTCTTCGACCTCTATCTCAAAAACGGTTGAGCGCATGAAATTATTTATGGAATGAAGTTTGTCGCAAATCTGATGCTCTTCAGTTCTCACAATAGAAGTCAATACCATTGGAGCTAGAGAAACCTAGATAATCGCAGAAAACCTGAATTTTGTGACCTTTCACCTTGAATAAAATACGACGCAGACACGACATTCCATGAGAAGTTTGAGACAACTTCTAGAACGCTCATTCCAAGTTGAAAACCTTATTTGACTGGAGTACTACTGGTGAGTCTAACGAATCCCAAACACTTTCAGGTCCTTTGATAGACCAGATCACAACCCATTTCGAGTACATTGTTGCCAACACCACGTCTTCTCCGAAACTCCTAATGCTATCTGCTCATGACAGCACCATCGCTTTTCTCCTCAATTCTCTCAACCTTTTTGAAGACCATTGGCCTGAGTATGCCTCAGCCGTCATTTTGGAATTGAGGAAGGCTGAAGGACACCAGTATGTCAATATTTTGTACAAGAACGAGACCTACAGCGATGAGGTTGTTAAAATGACTCTGGACGGGTGTCATTTTGACTGTGAACTGGATCAGTTCCGTGAAATCGTCAGGCCAATCAGAATAAATTTGATAGACTGGGAGGTTGCCTGCAGTGTTATACCATAGATAGATGAAAATAAAAGACAAAAAAACATCAGTGTGAAATTTTTAGCGAACCTGGTGGTGCACTAGTTTTGCACTGGCACTACGTTGGTTTTCTCCAAAATATGTGAGCATCTTCAGGAGAAGATTAAAACCAAATATTCTATTCTATTGAGCTACTTTTATACTGGGTATATGTCCACACAACCGTGAAAGACACTAAATGCCAAGTTAATGTTTGTCATGATGGTTGATTTCACATGTTCACATCAATCTTATATCACTAAACTATACAGGGAGCTATATGGAATAGGTTGGGTGGACTATGCCTAGTATATAAGTAGCACAATAGAATGAAATATTCAGTTTTAAACTTCTCCTGAAGATGCTAACATAGTTCGAGGCGTATAAAAAATCGGTTTGGTTAGTGTTAAAACAGTGTATTAGTGTATTATCGTGCCAAAGGTTCCAGTCTTTGATATACGAAATATTATGCTGATTGAATTATACTCAGTGGTTAGATCAGTCAAGTTGGTTTGTTTCTGTATATAACTTGTTGAATTTATATCAAATTCGTCTTTCTGAAAGTGAACAAATATTATCGATGATACTTATGGAATAGCATTTCAACTGAATTATGTACATTATCAATACCAAAGAGTGAGTACAGTGACAGCGAAATTCCTTTCAAATTAACAAGTAGGTAGTATTTTCAGAGTGGCATATTCATTAGGTATTACTTAATGATTAGATTGTCACTAACAATTTGCCTTTTGAACTATTCATTTTATTCAATGATTCTGCCATTTTCAGAACTGCAATGAGCTCGTGCGAGAATTGTTGAACTGAGTTCTGAACTATATGTGCATCAGTTTTCCAATGGAATTCAAAACCTGAATGCTAAATATGCACTCAGTGCGAGCCAGTTCTACCAATGGAATTAACTATTAGTATTATTAGTATGCCTGGAAATTATCAAGTTGAGTCTGAGAACTGTCAACAACTATATTTTTTTTTTCATTCCTTCATTATATGTCTCGAATGAAGTCTGATTGTTATGGCATTATGTTATGTAGTTTTATTTGAGAGAGAAAAATCATCTGCTCCGACGCGAATCATGTATTACAAATTATCCGTGACGAATTCTTCATATTTTCTGAAGCAAATATTTGCTTTTGGCTTCATTCTCTGCGCAGTAAACATCGACAACGATTTGGTTAAAGATTCCGAACAAAACTGTTTACACATGTACCGACTTGGAAGCCTTTCTTCCCTAACTCGAATCCAAACAAAATTAGATATTCAGCTGTTCCGCCTATCAGTGTCTACAGATCTTTACAAGAAGCTGCACTCCCCAGGTAGCACATGACGACTATATGACGTCTAATTGACGGCATCACATTCGGCCAAAAGACGTCTTTATTTCAACAAATGCGACGTCCAAATGACGTAAGTAAGACACATCCAAATGACGTCATATTTCAAAGTCTTTTAGACGTCAGTATGTCTTTTCAAATAGGACCTTAAACTGACATTACTGACCAATTTTCGACGTCAATAAGACGTCTGTTTTTTTATATAAAATTTTGAGGTTAATGGTTATAATCTGGTGAGGAAGATAATCATTTGTGCTATGAAATAAATTTGCTACGAATGAAGATTTTATTAACAAGATAGTAATGTAAGGTATTACATATAGTTGAAAATTTCAGCGTTGATGGCTCCCCTTCACAGAGAGCTCTTTTGTATGTTTTGCTGTCTCTAAATGGCGGCCAAAACACTTCCTTTTTCAACGGCGTCAGTCAAGTTTCGTGAACAACAGCTACACTGTTGCTTCCACTGTCATCAAATTGTATTACACAATACATCCTGAATACTTTCACGTGAAAAACAGACTGTATAGAAATACCACTCAAACACTCAATATTTTAACATTCTTAACAAATCCAATGGCACAGACGCCGTTCACAAACAACACCCATTCGAACATGGACGATGGACAATGAACATGAACGGGAACGCACCATGCACGATGCAAGCTTGACGCTGAACCACAGAAGCACAGAACGGACCGCTGAACGGCACTAACGCCACTAACGGCAGTCGCGAGATGGTCGCGAGCTGTCGCGAGTCGCATACACAAACTCTTCGCGTAATTACTTGATCGCCATTGGCCATCTGGTCGGTAAGTGAGAATCGTCTTTGGCGCTAAATTTAAACATTGAAAATCAGGGGAAGCCTATGGAATAAAATACATTTTTATCATACATTTATACAGTTATTGAGATAAATTAATAAATTTATTTTATAACTTCGTTTCCCTATACATACATGATAATAATAATAATGATAATAATAATAATAATAATAATGATAATAGTAATGATAATAATGATAATGATAATGCGATAATGATAATAATACCCAAAAAAATATGAAGACCATAGATTGACGTCTATACGACGTCAAACAGTGGCGGTCCATAAGACGTCACATTAATGACGTCCGCATGACGTCATAATTTGGTCAAAAGACGTATGAGACCAAAAAAGACCTTAGATAGCGGTCCTATAGACGTCACATTCGTCAGTCTGGCTACCTGGGTCCTGAGACTTTTTCAATTAGAAGAAATGCATGATCATGTATAACTGCTGAATACCATACAGAATTTCATGATGAATAATTGCATTGTCACGTAAGTACCGATTGAATATGAACAAGAACAATTATTGCAAGCTGAATGAAAATGTTTCAATACCGATTCAGATTCTATCAACGAGATTTTTTAACGACTCAGCTATTTACAAAAACACTATAAGAAGAGGGAGATATCGCTGAAATGTAGGTATTCTCAATCAACTCGTATACTGCACCCAAATTTATTGTTGAATGAGACCAGGCTATATTCCTATTGTATTCTTGACCAACATCTTTTTGAGTTCAAGGTCAAATGACTTCAGATTGAGAATTGAAATTCTTCCAGTGTGATGAAGATAATTCCAGTTCAGTGAATACCAAGAAACTCGGACAATATTTTTGTATGATAAAAAATGCGCCGCAGACGAAATTCATGTTGGATTTCAAGGTGAAATGCCTTCAAATTTATAATTAGATTTCATCCAGAGTAACAACATTTCAATCAGATCATTATCAGGTGGATGTTTTCCATTCATCGGGATTTATATCAAGTACAGGTTGAGTAGTGTCAATCATTATCATCGAGTAAGGAATACTGACTCATTTTCACATTTTAAGGAGAAAATTGAGAGATTACCAAATCCACTGACATTTCATCCTAATATAGCGTGTTATACATTGGTATGAAGGAGTATAATTACTTCAATCATGACGACTGATATTTTGTTTGCTTATTATCATGGCCTACCACATTGGTAACCAGCAAAAAATGGGTGTTCCTGTATGGTGGCGCTGTTGCGTACAGCATTTTTAGCCTTATCCAATGGTACGGAAAACCTATATGACACCCATAAGGAAAACAAAAGTTGTTTGTTTAATCTCTGAAACTGACGAAGATAGAATATTTCTCATGATGCCAACTTCTTTGTCATGATTGATTATACCTTCGTGAGGAAAATTTCAAATTTATCCCTGGAATATTAACCAAGAAAATTATTGAAAACGAAATCAGTGATTTTCAGATATCTCGTAATACCTCAGGAACGGCTGAATTTTTTTCAAAATCTTGTAAAACGTCACATTGAAATGGATTAAATTACGCAACTTTTGTTTAGTTAGTGTGGAGTGTGCAACCATCTGAGGCGAAGCATTTTACAGTGGACTGAAGGCGAAATTCATACAGTCTACTCCACTAAAACTAGGCTTTAAAGTAAGCAATTCATAGGAACATGTTTCCAAGCATGTTCATCAGTATTAAGTCACATAGGAGCACTGTTATGGAGGAAATAAAATGTTTACATACTCATGAAAACAAAATCGAAAATGACTGATACATAATAATTGAAATTAATAAAGAGGGAAAGCAAAATGCGGATCACCTTTGTTAAGACACTCTTAGATTAAACATCATAATCATAAAACTGAAATCAAATGAAGAATTTTAGTTCAATATGCCGGAGGCTTGCTTTGATTTTAGTTTGATGACTACCATGTTTGATCTAAGAGTGCCCTAACAAAGGTGATCCGCATGTTGCGGTCCCTTTTTATCAATTTCAATTGTGTTTCAGTAATTTTCATGTTTCTATGAGTATGTGAACATACATTTTTTCCTCCGTAACAGTGCTTCTATATACTTTGATGCTGATGATGCAGCTTTGAAGCATCTAAACTCGTGAATTGCTTCCATTAAAGTATAGTTTTGGTGGAATAGACTCTATGAATTTCGTCCTGTCAGATCAGTATCAGTTTCCATTATTATATTGATTCAGATCACGTGGCATTGAGGAGAAGAGAAAGAGAAATGTATCATGCTGGAGTGAAACTACTCGTCGACATATATGCGGACCGGTCTATTCGAGCCTCTTGGAGCGCGAAATCCTGCGACATTATTTCGTCTTTGCCGATTGACAAATGAGGATAAACAGCTGCAGGAGCTATGCCGAGCTTAATCAACACCAGCAATGTCAATTTGCTCCCAAATTGAAATTTATCGGGGACAAGACAAGACAAACAGACGAACATAATATGGACGACTGTCTGGCGCATGATTGGTGCGGTTTAGTGTCGGTTCCAGAGGAATTCGGTTATTATGATCACTCACAGGGATTAGACTGGCAGGTAGTGATAGATTTTCTGACATTATTCCACACAGTATTCCATTTGGAAGGTATCATTGTGTATTTTGATGTTTAAAAATGATAAATAAGAGAATTTTTCTGGTATCAAATTTCGTGATTCTAGGATCAATGAAAACGAGGATATTTGAAGAAAACTGCATTTAGGAACCTACCTTCGAAGTGATCTAGTACCCCCAGGCAGCATTTCAGTTGTCCTGTTATATAAGGATCACAATTCAATAAACACGAACACTATCACCAAATATAAGATGGACATGGGATATGCTTGTGCGAAGCTCGGCTACACGTCGAAGAACTAATGAACCAGGATTTGCACATGTCTGTAATAACAACAATAAAATACGTTGCCGGCTATAGCAACTGATGGGACTAAGTCCCACCCCCTTTCACAAAACTCCCCTAAGATGACAGCCGGTCACTATCTCTCGATTTGAACCGACCGCCACCCTGGGAGAAATGGATATTTGGATACGCCAAATTAGCGCGTTAGAGCCATCTCCGTTATGAAACAGCATGTTCTCCTGCTACCATTTTATTATACCAATGGTGGGGCCGTATGATACAACAGACTACTGGTTCAGTGTGTCAGTGCCCAAGCAAAGACGCTGCTCACCCGCCGAGGCAAGCAAGATATTCACTTCACCCCTAGTGGGATTCTTCTTCACCTCCTCTACCGTTGTCCGGTGGTATTTTTTGAAAACAATTGTTGATATTTCAGGAGAGCATTCCATGGACATATCTATTAAATAGAGCGAGATCGCCAACTTTTCTACGGTGTTCCAGAGAAGTGAGTGAGTTTGTGGGCGAGGCACTACCCACGAGACGAATTACCCTTTTTTGGACAGAAACCAACAGTTTATTTATTTAGTTATAACAGTATATTTGGATGCTGCACTCCGAATATGGGAACATTATTCCAGGACAGGTCGGATCTGTGCCTTATAGATCATAAGCAACTGACTGGAAGTGAAATAGCTTCTGGCCCGAAACAGAAAACCAAGTTTTTGGGGGACACTTTTAGCAATTGATCTCACGTGATTTCCCCAAGGAAGGTTATTGCTGATTGTGATACCAAGCAGCGAAATGGATGCGTTCAAAGTTATGGTTATTCCTGACAAGCTTATGTTGGGCACAGTGAGATTGGCTTTTCTAGAAAAAAGGCATGCTTGTGTTTTGTTTGCATTGAAATCTACCAAGTTATTGGATCCCCATTCGAAAATTGTTGCCAAGTTCCTATTTATGTTGTCAACATTTCTCCTTCGTTCGTTTCTGATTTGCCTGGCTGGTATTGGAGCCCTGGTAGAGAAGGTGGTATGAATGGTACTATCATCCGCGAAGCTGTGTACTGGACTTGAAGTTGCTTTTAACAAATCGTTGATATGGAGTAGAAATAGTGTAGGTGCTAGAATTGATCCTTGTGGAACACCAGCAT